TATTCTACTCCATTGAGCTATGTATTTCTCCTTCTGTCAATGCTGCTCTGTCTTGATACCTTTATAATAAATCTTAATCAAGTAGTGTAATTCTTTTAACTTTGTTATTCCTTTTCAAAATTGCTTTGTGTATTTCAGATCCTTTGCACATCAATTAAGAATTTTAGAATCAGCTTATCAGTTTCATAAGAAAGTTTCCTGGGATTTTGGTTGATAATGTGTTGATCTATTGATCAGTTTGAGGAGAATTAACATTTTCATACTATTGAGTCTTCCAAATCATGAGTATAGTATATCTTCCTATTTAAGTTCTAATTTCTCTTAGTAATTTTTTACAGTTTTCAATGTGCAGATCTTGCACATTTCTATCACATTTATCCCTATTTTGTGTATCTGATGTTGTTTTAAATGTTTTTAAAATTTAAAATGTCCAGTTATTCACAGCTAATATATAAAAGTACGATTGATTCCTGTGTATTGACTTTATATTCTGTGACCTTACTAAACCCACTTATTAGTTGTAGCTTATTTGTACAGCATTCTAGAAGATTTTCTATTTGGACAACATGTTATCCATGAATAATGAGAGTTTATTGTTTTTCCTTTTCAATCTGAATGCCTTTCTTTCTTGCCTTATTTCATTGACTAGAATTTCTTCTATTCAATATAGAAGTCGTATGAATGGATAGCCTTGCCTTATTACTGATGTTAGGAGAAAAGCATTCAATCTCTTAGTAAGTGTGAAGTGATGTTAGCTATAGGTCTGTGTAGTCACCCTTCTTTAGGGTATTCTCTTCTTAGGAGGATCCATGGTGATATCTCCTCTCTTATTTCTGATATTGGTAATTTGCATCTTCTTTCTTTCTTCTGATTAGTCTGGATACAGATTTGTACATTTTATTGGTCTTCTCAAAGAACCAACTTTTGATTTAATTGATTTTCTCTGTTTTTTCCTATTTCTTATTTATTAATTTTCCCCCCTTACCATTGTTATTTCCTTTTTTCTGCTTAGAGTTAAATTTGTTCTTGATTTTTTAGCTTCTTTTTTTTTTTTTTTTGAGACGGAGTTTCACTCTTGTTACCCAGGCTAGAGTGCAATGGCGCGATCTCGGCTCACCGCAACCTCCGCCTCCTGGGTTCAGGCAATTCTCCTGCCTCAGCCTCCTGAGTAGCTGGAATTACAGGCACGCACCACCATGCCCAGCTAATTTTTTGTATTTTTAGTAGAGGTGGGGTTTCACCATGTTGACCAGGATGGTCTCGATCTCTTGACCTCGTGATTCACCCGCCTCGGCCTCCCAAAGTGCTGGGATTACAGGGATTTTTTAGCTTCTTAAGGCCAAAGCTGGGGTCATTGATTTGAAGTCTTTCAGCTTTTCTAATATAGGGATTTAGTGATTTGAATACTCTTCTGAGTACTGCTTGAGCTGTATCCCATAGCTTTAATTATGTTGTGCTTTCATTTTTCTTTTAGTTTAAAATACTTTTTAGTTTCCCTTCCAATTTCTTGTAGCAGTGAACTCCAGGGACATGTGTGGAATATCGGTGCCCAGTGAAGGTTGTTTCAAGTCTCAACGTCTGAGGCTCTGATGGAAGAGTTAGTCGTATATGCACATCCTGCTAGCACCTGGCCATGGCAATTGAAACTCAGGAGGCTGGGTGCGGTGGCTCATGCCTGTAATCCCAGCACTTTGGGCGGCAGATCACTTGAGGTCAGGGGTTCAAGACCAGCCTGGCCAACATGGTGAAACCCTGCCTCTGCTAAAATACAAAAATCAGCCATGTGTGTTGGTATGTGCCAGTAATCCCAGCTAATCAGGAGGCTGAGGCAGGAGACAGAGGTTGCAGTGAGTCGAGATCATGTCACTGCACTCCAGCCTCGGTGACAGAGGGAGACTCCATCTTAAAAAAGAAAAAAAGAAAAGAAAAGAAAGAAACTCAGGACCCCAACAACGAAACCAGCTTCACATACATCAATCTTGATGTTTAGGCAAAGCAACCCTAACAAGGTGCCATGGCATGACATATAACTCCAGGTGTACACAACAAAATAGTCAATCCATCAGTGACCTAAAGAACACGCTGAAGACTACATTCTCAAGGGGTGGCTTGGAGACATGCAAGGAGTAAGCCACCAAACCTGCCTTGTTAACTCTTTCTTCACAACACCCAAACAGAAGATTTCTCTATTGCTAACCACTGCCACTCTGAGGTACAGGTTACGTGTGGAAATAAAGGATGTTTAGGGGATTGGGCACCATCTGGTCTACAATTACACAAAACTATGAGTCACTTGTTTTAATGGAAATTACTCTTTTTTCCATTTAAAAATATAAAGAAAAGATACCTCTGCTTTGTGTGGGCTTGCTTTCCCCTGATCATGTCAACCTTTCCAGCTCTTGGAACAGAATCCAAAGTCCTTAGCATGATACACAGAGCCCCACCTGATCTCCCCACCCCCAGGGCCTCCCTGTCCTCATCTCCCACTGCCCTCCCCCTTCATGGCTCCGCTCCAGCGATGCTGGCAACCTTGAAGTTCGTCACACACACCACGCCCACCTGCTTCAGGTCTTTGCATGGAGTGTTCTTAGAAATCCTCATCACTGGCCAGGCGTGGTGGCTCATGCCTGTAATACCAGCACTTTGGGAGGAGGTCAGGAGATCGAGACCATCCTGGCTAAAAAGGTGAATCTCCATCTCTACTAAAAATAAAAAATGTTAGCCAGGCATGGTGGCACGTGCCTGTAGTCCCAACTACTCAGAAAGCTGAGGCAGGAGAATTGCTTGAACCCAGGAGGCAGAGGTTGCAGTGAGCCGAGATTGTGCCACTGCACTTCTGCCTGAGTGACAGAGCAAGGCTCCATCTCAAAAAAACAAAAACAAAAACAAAATCCTCATCACTGTCCCCTCAATCTCTTGCATGTCTCTCCACAAAAATCACCCCACTGGAGGCCTTTTGGCCACTGTATCTAAAACAGCAGCCCCTGCCATTCTCTGCACCCTTTCCTCACCCCTGACAGTATATTGTTAACCTGAATAGTTAATTATTTTTTACCTGCTCCTCCTCCAACTCCCAATGAGAATGTCTGCACCATGGGGGCAGGGACTGTTTCTGTTTCACTGGGAGGTCTTGAGGCCTAGCACCATGCCTGGCACAAAATTGGGGCTCAGTAAGTGCCTATTAAATGAATGAATTGGATATAGATAGACAGTGGGCAGAGGGGGAGAAGGAGGATATTTGGAACACAGTAAGATATTTTATTTTCAGCTCTAGGCTGTAGAGAAATACTCAACTAAATTCTTAACTTTTCTCTCAGGACTTAAGTTTCAAATATTATATTTAATACCATAAAATGTATTTTATAAAGATGATTTGGTTTCCTCTTAGAGGCTAACCTTGTCTAACAGTTTTTTCTTTCTTTTTCTCTGATGACAAATCACACACATTTATAGAAGAAAATTTAAATGATGCGGAAAGGAATAAGTAGAAAGTGAAAAGTCTACTGGACTGGAGGTTAGGGACAGCTGTGTCAGCAGGGCGTACAAAAATGTCCCTGTGGATAAATTGGCCACATCAAACGGTTCTGCTCTGCTGTTTATGTTCTTTGCCTATTTTTAGAGGAAAATACCTTTGAGTGTTTGTACACTTAAAACAAAATCCAAAGTCCTTAGCATGATACACAGAGCCCCACCTGATCTCCCCACCTCTGGTGCCTCCCTGACCTCATCCCTCACTGTCCTCCCCTTCTCTTTAATGTTCAAAGAAACTTGTAGAGCTCACTATATATTAAAGACAATAGGCTTGTCCATCAAATATGTTATCACTTTTTTTTGTTTTTTTTGAGACAGAGTAGTCACTCTGTTGCCCAGGCTGGAGTGCAGTGGCGTGATCTCAGCTCACTGCAACCTCCACCTCCTGGGTTCAAGTGATTCTCCTGCCTCAGCCTCCCCAGTAGCTGGGATTACAGGCACACACCACCACACAAGCTAATATTTGTATTTTTAGTAGAGACAAGGTTTTGCCACGTTGGCCAGGCTGGTCTCGAACTTCCAACCTCAGGTTATCCACCTGCCTCAGCCTCCCAAAATGTTGGGATTACAGGTATGAGCCACTGCATCCTGCCTTTTTTCCCCCCTCCAATTTATTGCTTTTCTTCTAACTTCATGGTGTTTTCTGCCATTCAGAAGTGATTTTCATTGAGTGGTCAGTTTTATTAATCCTTAGCTTTTATTGCCTCTACCTTTGGTAGTGTACTGAGAAAGGTCTTCCTCACCCCAGGGTTATAATACTGTTCACCTACAACTTCTTCTGGTACTGTCATGGTTTGATTTTATTCTGTCATGTTTAAATTTTAAGGCATGACCCTTTTGGTGATAATAGACATGTATTGAGTGCTTATGATGTGTCAGGCTCTGTTCCAAGTACCTATATGAATCAGCTCATTTGAATGTTCAGTAAGTCCAGAGATAGGTCTGGTAGGATCCTTGTTTTCACAGGTGAGGAAACTTGAAGATAGGGTGGTTGGGTACTTATGCAAGACCACACAGCTAGCAAAACTTGGTCTGTCAAATGCTAAAGGCTACACAGGGTTGCTGTAAGGTTTAGAGTTGGTGTATGTCAAGTTTCTGGAATATAGTAGGCAGTCAATAGATGATGGGGTTTATTATTTATTACATAGTTTCCATAAACATAATTTCTGATGGCTGCATATTATTTGGAAAATGGTATATTTTTAGGTAAGTACATTTCTAAAATATTATTCCTTTAAAAGCGTGTTTAGAATTCCATGGGAGCAAACAAAACTTTTATTTGAAAAAACAATTGTCATAAAATAAATTGTAATAAAAAGAAATCCCAGAAAGATTGCATTAACATGTGTTTCACTGGGCAGTGGGATTACAGGTGTGTGTGTGTGTGCATCTGTGTGTGTGTGTGTGTGTGTGTGTGTGTTGTGTGTGTTTAAATCTTTGTTGGCAGAGCAGAGCTGCCACTAGAGGTCCCTGATGCCTGAGGAGCTGCAGTCAAGCAGGGATCGCTAACATCTAAGACAGACTATCGAACAGCACGTGCCAGAGGTGGAAGTCCAAGTTAAATGCAAAAGGACCACCTCACTGAGAACCAAGAGCATCAGTTATACCCGAGGCCTTGTCAGCAGCAGCAAGCCCCTGTGGTGGATTCCAGGCTGAACTGAAACAGGCATTCTTAACGGAGACACTAAGAGGTGGGTAAAGCCATGTTGGAACAGCAGTAATCTGATTCCAAGTAAAAACCAGTCAATGTAATAAGATATAATCTGTAATTTTTCAATATGATGTAGATTTATTTAGTCTGTCTTTTTTGTGTTTGTTGCTTTCATTTTTTTAGGAAAAGGCTATTACAAGTTGATTTTGATTTATTACCTTGTTTTTCCTTTGGGATTTTTCTTTTTTTCGACTTTAAGATTAGAATGCTGTCATTTCTGAGCATTCACTATTTACTTTTTATAAAATAAGAGCAGAGAGGAAGGGGGTTTACTGATAAATTCTCTCCTAGCTTTTCTTTATGTCTGCTTTTGCAATATTACCCCTCAACTTGAATTAATTAGGCCTATTTATGCCACCATTTTGAGTTTAAATCCAAGGAGACAAACAGAAATTTTCTGAGAAATTCTTATTTGTTGAATCATTTATACCTAAAATTTTCAGTTTTTTTTTGAAACAGGGTCTCAAAACTCCTTGCAGCCTCTGCCTCCTGCGTTCAAGTGATTCTTCTGCCTCAGCCTTCCAAGTAGCTGGGATTACAGGTGTGTGTTGCCACGCCCAGCTAATTTTTTGTATTTTTACTAGATATGGGGTTTTGTCATGTTGCCCAGGCTGGTATTGAACTCCTGACCTCAGGTGATCTGCCCGAGTTGGCATCCCAAAGTGATGGGATTACAGGCTTGAGCTGTTGTGCCCAGCCAGTACCCAACGTTTTCTAGTAATTGCATGGGCTTGGTTGCAAGCAGATGGTAGAATCTGATCATTGTCTCAAGCTCTTCCCAAGAGTAAGATAATTTTTCATTGAATAGGTGTGCACAACTGTTTTTTTAACCTAGGAGTTTTTAAGCTTATCAGTTCAGTTCACATATTCTTAATCATATGTTACGGTCTCGAAGTAGGACCATTTAATTTTCTGTTATTCAGTTATATCCTCTTTTATTCTAGTTTCAAATGCTAGTTCTACCTAAAAAATACTAGTTTAGGATTTCTTTAGAGCAGGGCTTGGTAACATATCTGGCCCACTACCTGTTTCTGTAAATAAAATTTTATTGGAACACAACCATATCACTTCCTACATGTGATCTGTGGTTACACCAGTGCTACAGTGGCATCTTTGAGTAGTTGTGACAGATGGAATGACAGGTACAGCCTAAAATATTTAATATCTTGCCATTTAAAAGGAAAAATTGGCTGACTTTTGTTTTAGAGTAGCAGATTTAAAGAAGAAAACACCAAGGTGAGGCCGATGAGCCTACTGATAATGTTATAGAAGGTGATGAATAAAGGATTATATACGTGTATGTAAGGTATACATTACAGGGTAGAGAATCAGATGAATTTATTGGGTAAGGGATGACTCGAAGAATCATGTTAAAACTTGCTATATAGGTAGATGGGGAGTTGCAGGGTCCAGCCCCACAGGGTCTAGTGGGTGTTGTTTTGTGTGTGGAGATGATAAATCACAGAAAAGAAAGACACAAGACTTGGAGATAAAGAAGAATTCAGCTGGGATCAGGGGACCACTGCTACCAAGGCGCAGAGTCCAGCAGTGGCCCTGAATGCCTGGATGTGCTGATATTTATTGTATACAAGGCACGGGGGCAGGGCCAGAAGAGTAACTCGTCTGACATGATTGGTAGGGGTCAAGCAAACCACGTTCTTACAATACAGGGGCCATGTGGGTACAGTTATGGAGTCACGTGGGTATAGTACAGGGGGTCACATGGGTATAGTACAGAGGGCCCCTCCCTCTCAGGTAGCCACTGCAAGGAGGGGAGACACATACGTCAGTATCTTTCTATGCACTTATCAGAGAGATCAAAGGCTTTTAGGATTCCTCTATTCTTACTTGTCACAACCTCTAAGAATTTACAAGGGAGCATCAGGTGGGAAAGTGGAACATGAAAGCCGACAAGGATAGTGACCATCAGAGCGCAACACCACAGAGAGGTGTTTAAGCCCCTGGATGTCTGTAGGCCCATCCAACTAATGTCAGGCCTTCCTTAAGAGCTGGCAGAGCAGAGTTTTCTCTGAACTCCCCCAGTGAAAGGGAAACTCCCCTTCACGGACTGCTAAGTAACAGGCACCTTCCCAGGCACTGGCGCTACCCTAAGGCATTTACTCTTGCCTCCTAATCACTTCTCACAATGTCCCTTCAGTTCCTAATTGTATTTCACCCGATTATGTCTACACCATAAGACTAAAATGTTCCTACACTATAATACTAAAGATTAATAGAGAATAATGATGTAATATCATTGATTCTATAATTGATTATGTGATTGAATCTAATATCTATTTGGTGTCATTTCCATAACTAAGTAATCAGTAAATATATCATTGCTATAACTAAGTAATCAGTTATTTATTAGACTGGGACAGACTGTGCTTTCAGTCTCTTGCCATGGCACCTGGGAAACTTTCTTCCCACAGGTAGTTTTTAAGACATTTAAACAATTGGTACCCCTTTTCATTATAAAAATGTAAGGCACATGATAGCCAGGAAAAAAAGGAAAATAAACCATTATGTTGTGAATATCAGTTTAATTTTTGTTTGGTACCTAAAAATTTACTAGGATATGTATCCAATTGGATGCTTATCCAATTGGGATGCAAAGTGTAAATATTAGCAATATTAGTATGACTTTTAAATGTTTAGTTGCATTGTTTTCTAAAAGCATCACTAGAAATATGGATTGCTACTAAAAATTAATAGACCATTAGTTTGTTAGGACCACACTTTGTATTCTGGGTTTTTTTTTGTTGTTGTTAAATAAATATTTCCAATAAAGGAAAAAAAATCTTTGCCGATATTGTAGTTTTCATAAAACAGCATGCTTAAACATTTTTCTGATCAGAAAAGTAGCTAAAATAACTGCTATATTTTTAAAAGGCTGTGATGAAACAATGCTGCCACTGTGGAAAACAGTTTGACAGTTCTTTAAAAACTTGAACATAGAATTACCATATGGTCCAGCAATTGCTGTCCTAGGTATATACCTCTAAAAATTGAGAGAAAGTACATTGGTGTACAAGCAGATTCTTGTACACCAGTGCTCATAATATTTATAATAGCCAAAATGTGGAAACAACCCAAATATTCATCTGTGGATGAATGGATAAACAAAACGTGCTCTGTCCATACAATTGAATATGATTCAGCCTTAATAAAGAAATTCTGATACAGGGCACAGTGTGGATGAACCTTGAAAGCATTATGCTAATTGAAATTGGCCAGTCACAAAAGGACAAATGCTGTATGATTTCACTTATATGAGGTACCTAGAATAGGCAAATTCGTAGAGAGAGTAGAATAGTGGTGACCAGGGGCTGGGAGAGGGGAGAGGGGAAGTGATTAAAAGGTTTCTGTTTCGGAAGATGAAACATTTCTGGAAATAGATAGTGGTGATGGCTGCACAACATTGGGAATGTACTTAATACCATAGAATTGTATGGTTAAAATGGTAAATTTTATGTAATGCCCTTTTTTTCTTGAGACAGGGTCTCACTCTGTTGCCTAGACTGGAGTGCAATGGCATGATCCTGGCTCACTGCAACCTCCGCCTCTCAGGTTCAAGCGATTCTCCTGCCTCAGCCTTCCAAGTAGATGGGACTACAGAAGTGCACCACCACGCCTGGCTAATTTTGGTATTTTTAGTAGAGATGAGGTGTCACCATGTTGGTCAGGCTGGTCTCGAACTCCTTATCTCAAGCAATTCACCTGCCTCGGCTTCCCAAAGTGCTGGGATTACAGGTATGAGCCACTGCTCCTGGCTGTAATGTACATTTTTCTACAATAAAACAACAACGGGCCAGGCATGGTGGCTCACGCCTGTAATCCCAGCACTTTGCGGGGCGGGGAGCGCGGGGCAGGGGGGCGGGGAAGGGCCAAGGCAGGTGGATCACCTGTGGCCAAGAGTTGGAGACCAGCATGGCCAACATGGTGAAACCCCGTCTCCACTAAAAATACAAAAATTAGCCGTGTGTGGTGGTGGGTGCCTGCAATCCCAGCTATTCAGGAGGCTGAGGCAGGAGAATCACTATTTGGGAGACGGAGGTTGCAGTGAGCCTAGATCGCGTCATTGCACTGCAGCCTGGGCTACAGAACGAGACTCCGTCCAAAACTAACCAAACAAAAAAACCAACAAAATAAAACAAGGTGAACTAAAATGAGAAATATCCTTTTGGAACAATACAGTTCCAAATATTCATTCATTCAACAAATAACCATTTAGGGCCAACTGCCTTGCACTGACTTTCCTTATAGCATGTAACCAATAACCCCTGTTATTGTGTACTCTCACGTGATGATTAGGTAACGTTGTAAGAAGGTCAAAAATAAGACATAGCCCATTGGTTTTGGGATTCACCCAGGGGTCTTTGCGGTTCCCCTTTCCTGCGTCCACAGGGGCTAGAGCTGGAAACCGGGCATCGGATTCTTGTCATCTTCTGACGGATTATTGGGTTTGTATCAACTGGGATTTCCCCTGTGGGTGTTTTTCTGCCTCATCTATTTAGCTTTTTATGGTCCCCTTTTCGGTATCCAACTTGCTCTTTCTTAAGTAAAGTTTCTGATTAAAGCGAGAGCTTCGAGTTTGGGGCCTGACCCTAATTTTTCACTCGTTAATGTCTGACGTCCAGTAGGTGCTTTCTCGATCTTTCTCCCTCCCTCCCTCCCTCCTTCCCTTTCTTTCTTCCCCTCTATCTCCCTTTTTCTCCCTTCCTTTCCCCCTCCCTCCCTTCCTTACCCTCTCTCTCCCTTTCTTTCTCTTTCCCTTCCCACCTTCCCTCGCTCCTCCCTTTCTCTCTCTCTCTTTCCTTCTTTGATGGAGTTTTGCTCTGTCACCCCAGGCTGGAGTGCAGTGGTGCGATCTCAGCTAACTGCAACCTCCGCCTCCGAGGTTCAAGCGATTTTCCTGCCTCAGCCTTCCGAGTAGCTGGGACCACAGGCACGCGCCACCACATCCAGTTAACCTTTTTTTTTTTTTTTTTGTATATTTAGTAGAGACGGGATTTCACCATATTGGCCAGGCTGGTCTCAAACTCCTGGCATCAGGTGATGCGCCCGTACTCCTAAAGTGCTGGGATTACAGGCGTGAGCCACCGTGCCTGGCCTTGATCTTTATTTTATTATCGAGCCCAGGCACCTCACTAAATTCGGCTCACCCCAACGTCTCATTTTCCTACTTTTATTTTGAAGCCTTTGCCCCACCCCCTCCACGTTGCCACCTTTTTCGTACTCTGCGCGCGCAGGGCATCACGCCCACCACTCTCCTTGCCTCACCCCTCAAGCCCCGATACCTGGGCGAGGCCCCGTCGTCTCGCTTTGCCCTGCTTTTCTAGCACGCGCCAGGTAGGTAGGTATCGCGGTGACGAGGCGACACTTCTTTCCCCTCTGGCGAGCACATTAACTGCAGAAGCTGCCAAATTCTTACGCCTTAGCTCCCCTACCTCCACCTCCCGCAAGCCCGGTTGCTCCCTCTAGGCCTCTGCGCCCCCAGTGGTTCCTACCCTCGCCTTTAGACCCCTGCCGCTTCCGCCTCTTATTTCGCGCCTTTGTTTTTAGGTTTGGAAGGGGCGGAGTTGAAATGGCTGCGCCACCGTTGCCGAAGCAACGCCTTGATTACTTCCGTTGGTTCAATGCTTCCGGGTTGGCACTGCAGTAGCGTTTCCGACTGTGGGAGCCTCAGCTTCCTAGTCGTCCGTTGAGCCGGAGCAGGTGAGGGGGAGCTCCTGGACTTCCAGGCTGGGGAGCAGGGCTGGGCCGCGCCAGGCCGCGCAGGGCCGGGCTGGCCTGGTTCCCGGCATGGGAGGGGCTTAACGGTCCTCTGGTCTCTCTCTCCCCTCAGCTGAGTCCCTTCCCTGTCTTTCACTCTTCTGGCATCGGTGGTTTTACTTCTTCGATTGAACCCTGCTTCCTCGACCCCCCTGGGAGGCCGCCTCCTTCAGGCGCCTCCCTTCTCTCCACGAGCTCGCTCTGACAGCTGAGGAACTGGCAAGATCCTGCTACCCAGAGGGTGAATGGGTATCTTTCCCGGAATAATCCTAATTTTTCTAAGGGTGAAGTTTGCAACGGCGGCCGTGATTGTAAGCGGAGTAAGCAAACACCTCCATTGTATTAGTGTGAGGGATGCTGTTGAGAGATGCTCCCCTTTGGTTTCTACCCCCTGTCACTCCTGAGATCAAGGCGTTGAAGGCATCTATTAAAATGCAGTTCAGTTACTTGATTGGCATGACAGCTGTTATCAACATGAATTAGTTTCTCAGACAAGATAACAGCAGGGACATTTATAGTTTCCTATTAGTGATTCCTTGTTGTTTTTTCCCACCCCCAGGCTAGAGATACTTAGCGTTATCATGAACTCTTCCCTTGTCTTCATTCCCTACATCATCAAGTTCTTTGTGTCTTCATTTGGGAAGTCTATCTCTAACCTCAGTGCCAACAAGCGTCTTTGTCTGCTGTACTTTGCACCATCCTAAGCTAGTCTCCCTGGCTCTCCCATTTGTAATGTAATCCACTGTGTTTCCTGCAGCCCTAATAGGCTAACTAAAATGCGGATTTTCTCAAGTCACTTTGCTGTTAAAAACATATACACATGCAAAACTTGCAGCCCCCTTCTATATACCACTACCCCACCCCACCCCCACCCCTTGGTTTCCAGCCTTTCCATATGACATGCTCCTTATCACACTTCTTGTCTGATACTGTTCCAGTCAACAAGGGAGTTCTTTGTTCCAGTTAGGTTTTTTTCTTCTTAGCACAAACCATGCTGATGCCTGCTTCTACATGCTGTGCTTGTTCCCACGTTTGCGTTTCTGTTCATTCTGTCTCTCCCCTGCTCCTCTCCCTTCCCTGCACCTAACCAGAATGTACCTACCCTCTCTCAAGATTCAATTTAGGTTCTCTCACCTCCACAGTTTTCAAATTATTCAAGCCCATGCTTGTTGTAGTGTTTTCTATGCTCCTCTTGCTCTTAAAGTTTGTACTGCACAGTTTAGCACTTAATTTTTCTCTAACGAACTACTTTGATTTCTTTCACCAGATTATAAGCTCTTGAAAGGCAAGTACTATATTTTGTACTTTTTCCCCCTGTCCCATCTCATTGGTTATTCAGGAAAGATAGCTTGAATGGTAAATATTGTCTTGGTGCTAGAACGTATAGCTGTGTTTTTCTTTTCTTTCTTTTTTTTTTTTACACTTGTGATTTCTAGTTTTTCTAGTAGCTGTGTTTTTCAAACATGATTATACCCAAAGTGCATTGCAGGTTTGGGCATTTAGCATGCCTTCAATAATATCTGCTTAGCTGTCCATTGTTACCTTCTGAATCTGAGAATCTCTAATTCCTACTTTTTCTTGAAGGAGAAAGCAAGAAAGGGACCCAGAGTTTCCTGACCAAATCTTTGGAGTAGTATAGGGCTGTGTAACTTGTATTCTAGGACATTCTTACTCTCACTCATTAATTTATCAAATTTTCTGAAGTCAGATCTTCAGAATAAATGTTGGCATTTTTATGACAGTTTTCTTTACGCAGTAAAAATATGTAAGGTACTATATTTCTATTTTACCTTAGATATGACTCCTTTTACCCATATCTGGGGTTAGCCCCTACAAGTTAAAATCATTTTTAGAGGGCTTGAAGTAATTCCTTGCAACAAAAGCAAGGGAAGCAGGCTTGTAGGCAGAGAATATCTGGGGATCAAGATAGCGTCATGTATAGGGTGTGCGGCATTGACCAGGCCCAGCAAGTTACCTTTCTGGTTTCCCCTGCAATCCTTTATATACAGGCTGCATACAGAGGTAAAAGACCTCACACTGCAAAACCAACTAAATTTTGAATGGGTGTGTACTCAATTCTGTGCAAGCTGTAATGGGGGTTATAAAAGGTACTGTGAGATATAGTATCCTCCCTCATGGATCTTACTTAGTTAAGAGAGGAAATAACATGGGACATCTTGAAGCTGAACCTCATCCTAGTCATTTTTATGCCTGAGATTAAGATATAGAAGGGATAAAAGAAGGTTCAAGTAATATTGCACACCTGTCGAATAGGTGTGACACAACATGCATGCATGTGGACAACTTTATTGAAAAGACTTGGAGGTTTCAGCTGACAGTTTAATGATATGATAGTTGATGTGGCTCCCAAAAAAGTGAGTGCAATTTTCAGCTGTAGTAATTCAAGTATAATGTGTGAATGAAGAGAAGGATCATGGATATGTAGTCCGAGAAACATAAGATGTAAGAGAACATCACAGCTGTCTTTAAGTGTTTAAAAGGGCTTGCCTAGGGAAAAAGAATGCATCTGTTGAATATTACTCCAAAGACTGGGTACAAATTAGAGGAAGACAGACTTTTGGCTCAATATGAGGAGGGAGTGTCTAAAGACAGATCTAATCAAAGATGATTCAGGATTTGTTCCTAAGATTTTTTCCTAACATTGGAGTGAGAGAGATTTTACTGTCAGAGGAGGGTGGTAGGGAAGTGGTGATTGTGGCAATGTTGAGTTTTGCCAGTGGTCCCCAGATTTTTGGATTTCATGGGCCAGTAAAATGTAAATGAATGTGTGGTGAAGGTATACAAATACAGGCTAGTCAGCCTATGCTCCAGGTGTAAGAAGAATGTGATCTCTTAATAATAGACAGTCTCTAAATTAAATACATTTACTGGAAAAAAAAGCACTAAGTGCCCTTATTTTTGTCATTTCGCCCCAGAATTGCGGGAATTTCATTAGGGAATCACTGGGCTACTGGGCTTTGGTCTTCCTGCCATGTCCTCCTTGCTCCCTGCCTTTCACTGATTTATCATTGCTCCCTAACCCGCTGGATATAAGGTTGTAAAGTCGTGTTAGAAGCTTTCTCTATAATGCAGAGTTGAAAAAAGTTATAAAGAGAAAGTTTTGGAGAGAAGCACAGTAGCTGTCTGAAACCTTTAAGACTATTTTGGGGCAATCTCGAAGTTTGTGAATAGAGAGTTAATTTTTCCTCACAAACTCAAAGAGGGTATATGCCATGGTCTTGCTTTTCCATTTCTACTCTCACCATATGTGTCATAGTTTACTATCAATTCTAATCAGAAAACGTCGGCATAACATAAATCTTGATAAGGTAATATTTAGTCTTCAAGACTCTGATTTCCAGCTGCAGTTGATATTTGAAATGGCTATTCCCACTTTGCTCATTAGAATTCTTTTCAACAACTTTCCTCCAAAAGGGCTATCTATCCCAGACTCTATATGTACTGTGCTTGAGAGGAAGCCTCCATAATGATTTTTTGTGGTCTGTAACTATAGCGTTTAATCAGCATGTTTGCTATCTTCTCTGGAAAATTGTATTTTGCTTAGTTACAGAGAATTCCTTATGTGGAAGTAAAGCAAAACCTTTAAATGGATACTGTGACTCAAAGGTGCTAACCCCAGACTGGGCAATGGGAGAGAGGGGCGGACAACAAGTAACATCTGTTGAGATGTAAATTTGGGTACTTAAATGTTTAAAAATGTAGTAATGATAGTTAACTAACAGTTATTGAGCTAGGTGCCAGGCACTTTTCAAGGCATTTTTCATATATTATTTAATTTTCACAGCAACCCTATTATATAGTTTTTATTATTAGTTCCATTTTACGGTTCAGAAGGTGGAGGCATAGAGAGATTAAATAACTTGCCCAAGGTCACAGAACTAGTAAGTGGTGGAGTCAATAAATGAATATGGAGTTAGCATTTAAATTTTAGCAGTCTGACTTCAAGAGTCTGCATTCCTGCCCACAAACCACTTGGAAGTTGCTTTTGAAATTCAGATGTATACATACTGTGAAGCTCTGAAAAAGGAATATTTGAAGGAAATCTGAGAAGAACAGATACTACTTTCAGGTGGACCAAGATTTAGTAAGCAATGCCTAGAACAGTTCTTAAGTGTGGAAGCATCGGCGCTATTTGGGATCTTGCAAATTCTCAGGGCCACACCACCAATCAGAAACTCAAAGGGGGAGGCCCAACAATCTATGTTTTAATAGGCCTTCTAGATGATTCTAATACATGCCAAAATTTGCAAAACTAGAGGCCAGAGCTATGGAAAAAATAAAATCCAAGAGAGAACAAGCTGAGAGTGGCAGAAAAAGAGAGTAAAGCTGAAAAGATTGACAATGACAGGTCTGATGGGGGTGGGATAGGGAAGGAGAAAAGGGAGGCTGGGAGCAGAATATGTTGTTAAAGAACTAGAATATAAAAGAAGAAAAGTATTTGTGTGTTTTAAAAGTCCAGGAAGAAGGAAAAGGAGATCCACTAGATGGATGTACATTAAATGTCAGAGGGAAGAGAGACATCGTATTGCTATCATGCCTTTGGGGGCTGGCTAGAAGGAAGGTAAAAAGGTGCTTAGCTCAGCCTGGGCCTGGTTGGGAGGCAAAGTTATATATAGCTAGAAACTTTAAAGTTTAGTGGAACATATAGGAGGGCTAAGAATATGAGAGGGTAGTAGTGTGAGCCTGTGCTTTGTACCTGAATCAAGCTAACTGAATACCATGCACTGCTTTTATAAGATGCCTCAGCCTATATAATTTAAATTTCAGATTCCTTCATTTGTAATTATCTAGTTGAATGTCAAAGTTGGGTGTGCTGGATGGACTGAAGCCTCTTCTCTGGGTGGGGATGAGTATAACATTAAAGAAACTAGAGAGAATGAAGGGCACAGGTTGATCTCTGAGTGAATCACATGCCTACCCCTACAAAATGTCAGTAAAGAACAAACTCATGATCATCCAGCACATAAAACAGGATCCCCCATTTTGTGTCATTCCACTTGGTGGGTTTTTTTCCTTTACATCTGTTTTATTTGCCAATTTGTTTGGCAAATCTAAATTATATGATCAGATGCTAACAAATGCTCCTCACTCTTGTGCCTTGTTCTGATTTGTGTTTATTTTTAGCACCAGAAAAGTACCACTGTAAGTCATGAGATGTCTGGTCTGAATTGGAAACCCTTTGTATATGGCGGCCTTGCCTCTATCGTGGCTGAGTTTGGTAAGAATGTGAGAAGTGACAAGTCTGCATTATATGGTATAGATGGTAGCTTATGGTGATGGTTATTTTTGGTGAAAGCTAGATAAAAAATAAGAAGCTTGCCTTATTTTAAAAATTGTCTCAAATCCATGAAGTAATATTTCAGAGAAAGTACTACTAATGGTATAGCAGATTAAGTTAAGAAAAGTCAAACTCAGGAAAGGTTTTCTGGTAGTTTAGTGATTGGTTAATTTGCTAGGCTTAAGTAAAAGACATGCATATATAGAGGGAGTTGGATATGTCATAAGGGTTTTTGCTATATTTCTTTATTGATGCTCTTTTATGCTAAATTGTTTATAAGTTTCTTTGTACTGCAAGTCCTTTTTTTCAAACCTCTGTTCCATTTTAGAAGAAAATGTACTAACAAGATCAAACAAGATTCTCTTCTACATGATTTTAATTTTAATATATTTTTAGATTGTCATTTTTCCATCTTCCAAATTTTCTCTTTCCTAAACTATTCATAAGTGACTACTGACTTTCTTGGCATATCCTGTGGTGTTGTAATCTTCGGGTCATCAGTGACCAGAGCTACCTAATCACCTTGTTAGTTTTACACCCTGAAATATATTTTGTCAATGTAATGACCACTTCTGTTTGTTGACATAAGATGTTTGGTTAAAGAAATTTTCCCCCCAAGCACTCTACAGGTATTAGTCCTGAATTACCTAAGGGACCAGGATGAGTAGAACCAAATAGGACTTTGCCATTATCTTTCATAATATTAGAGGAGTATTTGTTTCTTGTAAACAGATAAAAGAGAAAACCCACAAAACTTTGTAACACTGTATAAGAGCATCTGGAGCAGCAATCCCATGCTTTCCTATCTTTGTGAAAGTTTGGGGAGATTTTATGAGACATAGAGGTGGGGAGACTTGAGGTGGGAAGGGGAAGGAAGGAGACTGATAAATGCCAGATTGTATGTTACAGATGAAATAATAAACAACATTTAATTACTTTGCATGTATAATACATTAGGACAAGTTTAAAGCATTTTATTATATTACAGTTAGAAGTATACTGCAGGTCAAATGGTGCTGCCTGTGTATCGTATAATGCATTTCATTTACCACATACAACTCATGTCTTCTGACAGTGGTATTCTAGTAGCGCTCTTCTATGTGTTATAAAAAGGACTTTGTCTCAGGATTCAAATATTGTCCTTGGCTTATATTTAGCAACTACTTAACTGTGATTCTTTGGACATACTTATAAATGAGTGTGTTCCTTTATAGGAACTTTTCCTGTGGACCTTACCAAAACACGACTTCAGGTTCAAGGCCAAAGCATTGATGCCCGTTTCAAAGAGATAAAGTATAGAGGGATGTTCCATGCGCTGTTTCGCATCTGTAAAGAGGAAGGTGTATTGGCTCTCTATTCAGGGTAAGACTGATTCTTTCCTTATATCATTAATAGAAATGCTTTTTGAAGAAGTCATATATTTCAGCTGTCTGATAGTTTGTGTCTGTTTCATATTCACTATTTCAACTTGTAATTCAGTATGGATATGCCAGTTTATATTTCTCCTAAGTCTTGAGCTTTGGGTTTTGTGTTCATTGACTATAAGTGATAACATTTTAAAATGGATGTGTCGTTGCAGCATAGGCTTTCTCCAGATTTCCCAAGAGTCATTAATAGCCACTGTTAATAACAGCACCAATTCATTGTATATATTTTGTGATATCCCTCCCGAGTTGGCAAATGCTGACTTCCTTTAAAATTTTCCTCTTTGAAAAGATATTATTCTTGCAGTTTAAACAGAAAGTGCATAATGAGAGAGAGGGAGACTCATCCTTATTGTCACCTTTTGATTAGCCATAAGTTTGTGGTTTCCTGTCTAGTTTGTAGTTCATCTGTTGCCAGTTTCCTAGGCCACTCCTGCATCTAGGCTACCAGTTTATTACTCAGAGAATGACATTAATTTTATCGTTAAACTATGTTACATCGTTAAACTATGTTAGACTTAATTTAAAAGGTAATTTTCTTGGAAAAATCAAGTAGTACATCCTGAAGATGATCCACCATCCTGACTTGTGGATCATCTGTTTCACCTTGTTCTTTAATCAGCATGGATGAATCACAAGATATTTTCTTTTCTGATAGCAAGCAATAAAGTCAGAAATATGCATATTTAGTCATCATTTTAAAATCCTAACCATTTGAGCTGCTGCTGTCTTTCTATTTATACCTCCTACAGTATAGTTCTGCAATTTGGAAGAATCCCAAAGGAGGTATGAATGAGAATGTCTCCAGTTTAAAGGAGAACTTAAATAGGGTGAAATTTTGGCTCTAGAACTTCCTTGTTGATATGATTAAAGACATATCTGCAACTGTTAGGAAGTAGAGATTGATTAAAAAAAAATCTCTGTTAGGTGAGTAATAATGTATAATTCTTTTTAGAAATTGCTGGATTCAATTTACCAATATTTTCTTAAGGATTTTTGCATCTAAGTTCATGAGAGACATTGGTCTGTTCTTTTCCTTTTTCGTACTGTTTTTATCTGGTTTTGGTATCAGCGTAATACTACTTAAAATAAGTCGGGAAGCGTTCCCTCTTCTGTTTTCTGGAAGGGACTATGTATGCTTGGTGCTATTTTTTTAAATGTTTTGTAGAATTTCCCAGTGAAATTATCTGGGCTTGAAAATTTCTTTTTTGGGAACATTTAAATTTGGAATGCAAATTCTTTAATGGTTGTCTTAGTTTGAGCTGCTATAACAAAGTACCATAGACTGGGTGACTCATAAATAACCAGAATTTATTTCTTACAGACCTGGAGGCAGGAAATCTGAGATCAGGGTGCCAGTATGGTCAGGTTTTGCTGAGGGCTCTTTTCTGGGTTGCAGACTGCCAAGACTTCTAACTGTATCCTCACGTGGCAGAAGGAGAGTGAGGGAACTCTCTGGGATCCCATTTATAAGGGCACTAATCCTATTCATAAGGGCTTCACCCTCATGATGTAATCACCTCCTATTACCTTCACATTGTGGGTTAGGATTTTAAGATCTTGATTTGGGGATGATACAAACAGTCAGTCCATTGCAATGGGTATGAGTCTTATTCAGATTGAGCTGTTTTATCTAGTTGAGTTTTGGTAAAGCTTATGGTTTTTAAGGAATTTGTCAGTTTCTTCTAAGGTGTTAAATTTATGAGTATAAAGTTGTTTTACTATACTCTTATTGTCCTTTTAATGGCTGTAAGAATTGTAGTGCTAGTCCTTGTTTCATTTCTGATTTGCTTCTTCTGTCTTTTTATCTTTGTGAGTCTTGCTAGAGGTTTATCAGTTTTGTTGATTTTTTTTTTAAGAGAGCCAGCTTTTTGTTTCATTGATTTTTCCCTATTTTCAATTTCATTAATTTGTGCTTTTTTTTATTTTCTTCCTTTTGCTTGCTTTGGGTTTATTTTGCTCATCTTTTTCTAGTTTCTTGAGGTAGGAACATAGATTATTGATTTGAAACTTCCCCCCTTTTTTTAAATGTAAGCATTTCATGCTGTAAATTTCCCTCAGCTCTGCTTTGGCTGCATCTCATAAATTTGGATAGGTTGAATTTTATTATCATTCAGGTCTGTGAATTTAAAAAATATCCTTTGACACTTGGTCTGACCAATAGATTGTTTAGAAATATGTTGTTTAATTTATGAATGTTCGAGGATTTTTCTTATTGATTTCTGGTTTGATTCCATCATTGTCAGAGAACATACTGTATATGATTTCAGTTCTTTTAAATTTGTTGAGGTTGGTCTTATGACCTAGAATGTCCAGTTTCTTGGTGAGTGTTTCGAGTGCTTGAAAAAAATTCATATTCTGCTGTTGGGTGGAATGAGATGGGTAGTGCAAATGAGTAGGCTGTCTAGATATGTATAATCTGCAGATTCATGTTGAGTATAACTTTTTTATTCTTTTTTCTTTCTGCAGAATTGCCCCGGCTTTACTAAGACAAGCATCATATGGCACCATTAAAATTGGGATTTACCAAAGCTTGAAGCGCTTATTCGTAGAACGTTTAGAAGGTCTGTATACTCACCCTCTTTTGAGGTGATACTCAAAGGGATTGTTGAAGTCATGCTTAGCGAGAAGTGTTGGTCATGAGGTGCCTGAGAAGGGAGGAGAGTCACTGCAAGGACAAAGTGAGCTTGTTCTAACTTGGAATAAATCTTTGCAGAGGTGATATATGAATAAGAGAGACCTGTTCTTCAAATTTGTCCCTTTTCGTATCAACAAAAAAGGCATCTGATTATCCCAAAAGAAACATGGAACAATCTTGTCCAGAAGATTAATGCTATTTTCATCAATAAGAGGACTTCAACTGTAAGGCATTTTCTAGCTGGCAATTTTGATAAGCTTTTATTAGGCGAAATAATTTTAGGCTAAATTCTGATGTGCCTAGGCTAAATTCTGATGTACCTTATGCATATTCAGCATTATCATATGTCTGTTTGCTGCTGTAGCATTTTCCATCCTGATACTATACTAAATGGTTATTTTACCACAGGCCTGGGGCTGTTGGATGGTTGGGGACAGCTGGAAAGCCTTTCAGTTAGTAATGTGCTTTGGATCACTTTATTGTCCTAAAATCAGCTTTTTCTGAAGGCTTTTTTTGGGGGGATTGTGAAGGGTTCTTTTCCACCTCTTTCTAAAATATTTTTTTTCATAGATTCTTCACTTGGATTAATTCAGTTTCTGTTTGTGGGGTCTTCATAGTGTGAAGGAACAGTGAAGATTGAATTTCACTATAGAACAATATGCTCTGTGGTTTCTTTGTTCTTTTTTCTCACTGAGGAGATTTAGTTCTAAATGATTGCTTTTTCATATTTGATTATGAAAGCCTGTAAATTAACAGAGGCTAGGAGAGATCAAAGGCCTATCAAAATTAATATTCAGATAAGTTTTTGTACTAGACATATGATTTTCTCTTTTAACATTCAGTTCTCGAATGTTTCGAGTTGATGATTACCCAGAAAAAGACTTTAAAAGCATGTTCTTCAGATGTTTGAAAAAGTCGAAAGGGAAATACTACCTTCCGAATTCGTGTGTGAGATATTGATAGTTATGTAGAAGAACAGAATGTGTTCCAGTGTCCTTTAGAAATAATGATGTTTTTGGAAATGATTTATATTTTACAATTTTTAATATATTTTAGCACTGTTTTGAGATCTAGAAATATTTGTGTTTCTTTATCTTCCTAAGCTTTATGGTTCATTTTTGAAGTCATCTCTCTAACCAAGTTGCCCTTCCTTCAGTAGGTCAGTACTGTGTTCTCAGAAACTGGTGCCCTAATACAAGCAGACCTTTGTTTTTCTTTTCCTTTTTACAGATGAAACTCTTTTAATTAATATGATCTGTGGGGTAGTGTCAGGAGTGATATCTTCTACTATAGCCAATCCTACTGATGTTCTAAAGGTAAGAGAGATACAGTGTGATTTGAGAAGAGCATAAGCTTTGAGTCAGATTTGGGTTCAGATTCTCACTCTGTCACTTGCCAGCTATAGAATCTTGGGCAAATCAGTTAACTGCATTAAGCCTCAATTTCATCATTTGAAAAATGAAGATAATACATTGTTTATAACAGGGTTGTAAAGAGTTAGCGATTATATATACACTGCCTATCATTGTACTCAGTGTAGTAGATGCTCAATAAATGGCAGTCAATTTATTATGATATGAATTAATCCACTGGTCTTCACACTGGGGTATGCAAGGCCTTATAGGTTTTTTACAAGGGCTGTGCAGTTTTATAGGAATCAATTTCCAGATCTCTTACATCCATTTGTACTCCATCCTAAAACTGGTCCGAGAATGAATCTGTGTTTGTAATAGACCTTACTCAGTTTTACAAAAGAAAGACATGTCCCCACCCATTCTAAATCTTGGTATGGTATGTTGAGCTGTGGTATAACCTGGGATGCCAAACAGACATAAATTGAAATACAGTTTTTGGAGAAACCTACTTTAATAACTAATTTGGGCACCTTAAGTCTGTAATGCCTCTGTCTTTCCCTATCTTATTAATATTTCTATTAAGGGTGAGATTTCACATTAAAAATGATACATTTTGGCCTGTATGGGGATATTCTGAATTCAGAACCAGAACAGCATAGGTTGGTGGTGCTGATTTCTTAAGAGTGTGATTGGATTCCTTTAAGATTTTATCAAATCACAGACTGAAACATTAATTTTAATGTCAATTTTCATCTTTATTTCATAAAATGGTAAATATTTTCTACTTAACTTATTTAAACTTATGATTAATTAAAAGCACTAAATATAGAATTAAAATATATGAGGGGAACCCAAAGTTTTAAAAAGTTATTTTAAAATTATTTTAAGGGGATTGTGAGAAAAAAGTAAGAGGACACATGTCTTTTAAAATTTGACCACTAGTAAAACCACAAGTGGCTAGGTTAGTGAAGGAGAGATCTGTTTATTGCAATTCAGAGAGGGGTTTGAGAACTGAGAGAGAGGGATTTGAAAAATAACACACATGAAATAAACCACTGGTGGCTGATAGATAAAAATATGAGATAGTCTTTCTGGACTAAAATGATGGTAATTTACAGAATATTTATAGCATTTTAGATTTACAGAACAAGTTTTTTTTCAACTTTTATTTTAGATTCAGGGAGTACATGTGCAGGTTTATTACAGGGGTATATTGTATGATGTTGACGTTTGGGATACAAATGATCCCATCACCCAGATAGTGAGCACGGTACCCAACAGTTTTCAACCCTTGTCCCCCTCCCTCTTTCTCCCCTCTCTTATTCTCTGGTGTCTGTTGTTGACATCTTTGTCCATGAGTATGCAATGTTTAGCTCCCACTTATAAGTGAGAACATGCTATATTTGATTTTCTGTTCCTGTATTAATTCACTCAGGATAATGGCCTCCAGCTCAATCCATGTTTCTGCAAAGGACATGATTTTGTTCTCTTTTATGACTGCATAGTATTCCATGGTATATATATATACCACACTTTCTTTATCCAAACTGCTGTTGTTGGGCACCTAGGTTGATTCCATGTCATTGCTATTGTGAATAGCGCTGTGCTGAACATAGGAGTGTATGTGTATTTTTGGTAGAATGATTTATTTATTTTTTCTTTTTTTTAATTGCATTTTAGGTTTTAGGTCTTGCAGAACATGCAAGGTAGTTGCGTAGGTACACACATGGCAGTGTGTTTTGCTTCCTTCCTCCCCTTCACCCACATTTGGCATTTCTCCCCATGCTATCCCTCCCCAGTTCCCCCTCCGCAGTCCCTCCCCTACTCACCCCAATAGATCCCAGTGTGTAGTGCTCCCTTCCCTGTGTCCATGTGTTCTCATTTTTCATCACCCGCCTATGAGTGAGAATATGCGGTATTTCATTTTCTGTTCTTGTGTCAGTTTTCTGAGAATGATGTTCTCCAGATTCATCCATGTCCCTACAAAGGACATGAACTCATCATTTTTGATTGCTGCATAATATTCCATGGTGTATATGTGCCACATTTTCCCAGTCCAGTCTATTGGTTCCAGGTCTTTGCTATTGTAAACAGTGCTGCAATGAACATTCGTGTGCATATGTCCTTATGTAGACCGATTTATAGTCCTTTGGATATATACCCAGTAATGGGATTGCTGGGTTAAAGGGTAGTTCTGTTTTAAGTTCCTTGAGAAGTCTCCAAACTGCTGTCCAAAGTGGCTGAACTAATTTACATTCCCATCAACAGTGTCTAAGCATTCCCTTTTCTCTGCAGCCTTGCCAGCATCTGTTGTTTTTACTTTTAAATAATAGCCATTCTGACTGGTGTGAGATGGTATCTCATTGTGATTTTGATTTGCATTTCTCTGATAATTAGTGATACTGTGCATCTTTTCATGTTTGTTGGCTGCTTGTATGTTTTCTTTTAAGAAGTGCAGCAAACCGACACAAGAACAGAAAATCAAACACCGCATGTTCTCACTCATAGGTGGGTGTTGACCAATGAGAACATGTGGACACAGAGAGGGGAGCATCACACACTGGGGTCTGTGGGGGGGAACTAGAGGCGGGACAGCAGGGGTGGGTAGTTGGGGAGGGATAACATGGGGAGAAATGCCAAATATAGGTGATGGGGAGGAAGGCAGCAAACCACAGTGCCATATATGTACCTATGCAACAATCTTGCATATTCTTCACATGTACCCCAAAACCTAAAAGGGAATAAAAAATATATGTATATATATATGCATATATATATATACACATATATATGCATATGTATATACACATATGCATATATATGTAAAAGAAGTGTCCATGTCTTTTGCCCACTTTTTCATGGTGTTAATTGGTTTTTGCTTGTTGAATTAAATTCCTTATAGATGCTAGATGCCAGATTTTCATCAGATGCATAGTTTGTGAATATTTTCTCCTAGTTTGTAGGTTGTCTGTTTACTCTGTTGGTAGTTTCTTTTGCTGTGAAGAAGCTTTTTAGTTTAATCAGGTCCCACTTGGTCAATTTTTTGTTTTCTTGCAATTACTTTTGAGGACTTAGTCATAAATTCTTTCCCAAGGCCCTAGGTTTTCTCTTAGGAGTCTTAGGATTTTAGGTCTTAACTTTAAATCTTTAATGTGTCTTGAGTTAATTTTTGTATATGGTGAAACGTAGGGGCCTAGTTTTATTCTTCTGCATATAGCTAGTCTGCTATCCCAGCATCATTTATTGAATAGGGAGACCTTTCCCCACTGCTTATTTTTGTTCACTTAGAAAAAGTATTTATGAAGAGAATTTAATTGAAGAGCGCTTTGTTCCTCTTACTCTCAGCAGACAACTCCACCTCCTATGGCCTGGCCTTACACCTCTCAATTTCTTGTCCTTTCTACCTTTCACGTGTAAACTTACATCTATACCCATCTTTACCTTGTTCTTACTGTAGTGATTTTTCAGACCAGACCAGTATTACCTGGGAACTTGTTAGAAATGCAAATTATCAGGCCCCACCCCATACCTACTGAATCAGAAAGGGTAGGATGGGACCCAGCAGTCTGGTTTGACAGGACTTTCAAGTGATTTTGATATATGTTCAAGTTAAAAAAAAAACACCCTGGTTTTCACTTCCATTTTATCAGGGACCTTTCTCTATCATTTGTCCCTTTTCCTCTTATCTTCAGCATCTTCCTCTTTACTGGTTATGTGCTCTCAAATGATAAATATGGTCAAGTCTCTCTATCCTAAAATATTTTCTTGATCCTCTGACCTCCTTAAAATACCATGCTAGCTCTTTTCTTCCCTTTTCATCCAGATTTTACAAAAGAGTAATCTGTACATCCATTCCCTCCATAACCTTCTGTAATCACTTCTGCTACTTGATTCAAATTACTCTCCCCAGGGTCAGCAGTAATGTCCACCTTATCCAATCCAGTGGACATTTTAGTTCTCATCTTACTTAACCTATTTTGACTTCATTCCTTCTACTTGAAGTTCTTTTTTGGTTTTGTCACCACACTATTTAGATTCTTCTTCTAGGTTTCCTATTCCTTGGTTTCATTTGTGGGCTTCCTTTTTATGTATATACCTTAAATCTTTTTCTTCTCCCACCTAGGTTCCATCTTTAGCTCTTTTCTCCTCTTCAGTCTCTCCCTGGTGGCCGTTTTCATGCTTAGTACTTTAGTTCTCACTGTATCAGTTAGGTTATAGGCTGAGCTACTGTCACAGAGAAACTCAAAAATATAAGTCTCCATATACAAGTTTGTTTCGCTGTCAGGTCACCATCTAGAGCACTGCAGTCAGTGCTGGTAAGGCAGCACTACTTCATGCAGTCATCCAGGATCCAGGTTTCTTCATTTTTGTTGCCCTACCATCTCCTAGGGCAGGGATTGGCAAACTACTGTCTGCGGGCCAAATCTGGCCCACTCCCCGTTGTAAATAAAGTTTTATTGGAACACAGCCACCCCATTTATTTATTGCCTATGGTTGCTTTTGTGCTTCAGTGGCAGAGCTGAGTAGTCACAACAGAGGTCATAAGACCTGCAAAACCGAATGTATTTACTGTCTGGACCCTTACAGAAAACATTGGTTGACCCCTGTCCTCTGGTATTATTTTAATCTGTATAGTCGAAGTTGGATCACCATCAAACCCCCATTCCAGCCCATGGGAAGAGAGTTGAGGGAAAGCAGTTTCCTTTTGATTTGTCAAAAATAAAATCAGGAAAAATTTTAAACTTTATTGTATGCAATAAGAGAAAGTACAGATCTCAATCCAGGGTACTTTAAACCAGGTAACAAGCTTATCTTACTGCAGTTTATAAAGCAGAAGGGCAGAAACATTTTGACCTTTTTTGTGATTGGCTGTTATAAATGTTCTTTCTTTTAAAGGCAAACAGCTGTTTAAAGTGATTGTCTATGGTTATTGGTTTCATTTCACTGAAGAATTCTGACAAAGATGTAAAGCTTATGTTTTGTGTTTATGATTAGAGATAGCAGTTATGAGGAAAAGTTTCAGTTACCTGATGATGGGTGGCTGGCCTTAGGGTATATCTCATTTGTTGCCTCCATTTTTGTCTTTAACAGTTTAAATCTTTAAATATGTAGTTTTTCATAAACAATTTCGAACATACGAGTGAGTAGAAAATAACATAGTGCAGTGAATGTCTTTTTACACCGAGGTAGCTAAGATTTTGCTACACTTGCTTTTTTTATTCCCTTTTTCTGAATTATTTTAAGGCACATTCCAGACATTGTCATTCCCCCCTCATAAACTTCAATGTGTATCTCATAAAAGGAATATTTTCCTACATAACCATGGTGCCATTGTTTCATTCCTATATAACCACGGTGCTACTGTTACATTTAATAAAACAAACATTAATTCATTAGTAACATCTAATAATCTGTGTTTACATTTCCAGACTGTCTTAAAGATTTTACAGTTGATTTGTTTAACTTGGGTCCCAAAGCCTATGCATTATATTTAGTAGTTATATTTCTTAAGTCCCTTTTATTCTAGAGTACCCCTCTCCTGTCCATGTACCTTTTATTTATGTGTTTATTTGCTTTTTGCCATTAACTTGTCAAATAAATGGGATCAGCTCTCCTTTAGAAATTCTAAGTTCTGGATTTGTCTTTTTGCTTCCTTGTGATGTCATTTAACTTGTTCCTCTAAATCTTCTATCTCTGTAAAAGGAAGGTTTCTGTAAAGGTCATACCTAGTCACGTGAGGAGGCACACATTGTTCGGCTGTCCCAATATAAGGATGTTAAGATTGATCAGTGAGTTCAGGCGTGACAGCCCAATTTCTCCTTTGTAGTTTCCCGTCAATCCTTCTTCTAATGGTTTCTTCTGTTGGTGACCATTATCTGAATCAATTACTTCATTAAAGGTTGCAAAATGGTGATTTTCTAATTCCATCATTCCATCCATGTTTCTTAGCTAGAATTTTTCTGCAAGACTTTTTTTAAATTTTATTTTTTCCTTTTTTTTCTTTTTCCTGAGATGGAAGGAAGCCAACAACTTTTTTTTAAATTTTTTGAGATGGAGTCTCACTCTGTCACCCAGGCTGGAATGCAATGGCATGATCTCACCTCACTGCAACCTCCACCTCCCAGATTCAAGCAATTCTCTGCCTTAGCTTCCCTGGTAGCTGGGATTACAGGTACACACCATCATGCCCAGCTATTTTTTGTATTTTTAGTAGAGTCGGGGTTTTGCCATATTGGCCAGGCTAGTCTCGAACTACTGACCTCAGGTGATCTGCCCCCCTTGGCCTCCCAAAGTGCTGGGATTACAGGCGTGAGCCACTGCGCCCTGCCAAGGACAACTTTTTCTCATTTAGTGGGGCTGTTCGGCTATTCTGAAAAACAGGCAATTTTCTTCTAAACAAGACACTGGGAAGTTTCAACCATTATTTCTGTTCATGTTCCATTCTAAAGGACTTCGTTCCATGGCTGTATCTAGCTTCAAGAAAGTCTGGGAAATGGAGTGTCTAACTGAGGGACCATGTTCCCACTAAAACTCTAGTTATTGAACAAGGGGAGAGTAGATTTTGGGAGACAACTAATAATGTACCATGCTACCCAGACCTACTGGGTCATCTAAACTAGACACCTAGATCATATTTGATTCTTCTGTATCTTTGCTTCCTTCTAGTATTAGATTCGGTATCCAGTTTGCCAATTTTGCCTCATCTATATTTCTCAACTTTGTCCTTTCCCCACCATTCTTGTTGTAGGGCTTCATCGCAGTAGCCTCCTAACTTGTCCCTTCACCCTAGTGTGTACTCCACTCCCTCAACCGATCACCAGACTGAAGCTAGAGTGATCTATCTAAATCCATGTCTGATCTACTATGTATTGCTTCTTTGCCTTTGCTCATGTAACACTTTCTTTCTGGAATATCTCTCATTTTCCTGGTGAATTTGTCCTTCAAGACTAGGCTCATACACAGGGCCAGGACTAGGGCAAAACAAGTAAGACAGTCCACTTTGATGCAGATTGTGAGAAGGTACCACAAAACTCAGTAATCAACATAAACAACATTTGTATGTAGTATTTTTAAACTATCAAAATTAATGCAAAAAATTCACAATGAACAAAATACCAAAATTTCATATAACTCATCTCATTCACCTCACCCTAATCCTGGCCCTGTTGGGTCCTAGCTTTAGTTAAATTTGATATTTGATTCATCATGGCATTTTGTGGATTAATTTTGGTTAAAAAATATCATATTGAGACATCATTTATCTTGCTTACTGAGGTTTTCTTGTACTCCCTTACATTTCATGCCTAAGGAAAGTACTTCACTTGCCTCGCGCTAGTTCCAGTGTTGCTCAGGAATCACCTCCTTAAAGACGTGTTCTACTCACCGTAGTGTATTAGTAGTTTTGATTTGTCTTTGTGATAGTTTGTATCTCAATTTAATGGATTTAGGTTTGTAAAATATTTCAAAACTCTTAATAGAACAGTTAACTCTCTACATGCCATTTCATGACTTACCAAAGATATTTGTTGAAACCTAGAATGGTCACGTGGTGCTTCATAAAAATCAAGCCTACATTTGGGCCACTAGTATTTAGTGACTGATTACTAAGGCTGTATATGTGCAGAGTCTGTGGGAAATTTACCAAACCTTTTACGTGGCCATTTAATGCTATCTTTCCTTTCTTGCATCTCTCAAAGGCCGCTTGGCAGAATGTAATATCATGCTTTTATAAATAAAACTCAAGGTCTCATAAACATAAAATTATATTTTAAAAATTTTTCCTTTTTGTAAGTATGTAAGCAATGCATGTTTAATGTAGAAAAATATGGAAGGCAGAAAAAACACAGAAGAGAAAAATGCTTGCTTGTAGCCTCATCACTCAGACATAAGCCACTGTCAGTATTTGGTTTTATATGTTCATCTTGTCTCCTTGCTGTGCTTATGGATATTTGTAAGTTTACATGTTTTTAATAAAAATGATATAGTACTTTGCAATCTTTTCTTTCCGGTTAGCAATTAATTTTTGATGTCTTTCAGTGTCAGCGAATACCATCCCACAACACAATTTTATGATTCTATTAAATAAATGTGTAACCAATCTGTGTAGTTGTTGCTTCGGATATTGTTTCTCGTTTTTCATTAAATGAGTCATTTTTTTACTCTTCCTGAGTACTTATTCTTTATTTTCCCCAAATTTTCTTCTAGCTCCAGAAATAATAGACTTAGTGTGAGGAATGTGAGGCCGATGAAAATCATCTTTATAAAATACACTTTGACACAAAGTATATTCTTTTTCTACACAGTTTAAGTATTTTCATCATAATAGCAGATATTTTTCTGGGATTCCCAAATATGGTTGTATAAATTTTAGATGAATTTAAAATGAATTCAGCATTTTGGTTCTCTGTGACAAAATAAAATGTTCACCTCTTTTCGTTTTAGATTCGAATGCAGGCTCAAGGCAGCTTGTTCCAAGGGAGCATGATTGGAAGCTTTATTGACATATACCAACAGGAAGGCACCAGAGGTCTGTGGAGGGTAAGTACTCTTTTCCTGGGATTATTCTACACTCCCAGTTCCTATAATTTGCAAGGAATACTTTTTTGATATAAAGCCATAAAATTGTGAATTATAATCCAAAAACTAAAGTAAGAAACTCCTCATCTCCTTTGAAAGGCCCAAAACTTATCATTGGCCTTTTATTTCTGCATCATATTTGGGGATTGTGTAGGTGGGGAAAGTTATTACATTATTTGAGATGGCCATTTTGATCTAGTTCACAGTGAATGTGGTTGTTCTGTACTAACACGATGATGTGTGTCTTTTTTTTTTTTTTTTTGAGACGGAGTCTTGCTCTGTTGCTAGGCTGGAGTGCAGTGGCATAATTTCGGCTCACTGCAACCTCTGTCTCCCAGGTTCAAGTGATTCCCCTGCCTCAGCTTCCTGAGTAGCAGGGACTACAGGTGCAAGCCACCATGCCCAGCTAATTTTTTGTATTTTAGGAGACATGGGGTTTCACCATGACCAGGATGGTCTTGATCTCCTGACCTCGTGATTGCCCACCTCGGCCTCCCAAAGTGCTGGGATTACAGGTGTGAGCCACTGCGCCCGGCCCCGATGTGTGTCTTTTTAATGCTTATGTTCAAAACCTGTTAATGGCTGAATGTGGTGGCACGTGCCTGTCATCCCAGCACTTTGGGAGGCCAAGGCAGGTAGATCATTGAGGTCAGGAGTTCGAGACCAGCCTAGCCAACATGGTAAAACCCTATCTCTACTAAAAATACAAAAATTAGCTGGGTGTGGTGGTGCAAGCCTGTAGTCCCAGCTACTCAGGAGGCTGAGGCAGGAGAATTGCTTGAACTCTGGAGGTAGAGGTTGCAGTGAGCTGAGATCATGCCACTACACTCCAGTCTGGGTGACAGGGCGAGACTCCATCTCAAAAAAATAAAACTGTTATCTTAAACAATTTTTTACCTAAAAAGTATAACATGTACTGTAAAATATTGAGAAAATATAGAAAAGTAAAAAGAAAAAACATCCAGTAGTCCCACTGCCTAGAGATAATCTGTTAAACATTTTGTCATATTATCTTTCAGTCTTCTATCTATACTTTGCTTTTTGGTTGTCATTGTTGCTATAACTTTTTAATCCTTAAGTATTATAATATTAATAAGATTATTAGTAGAATATGCAGAGAGAGTGGAATGGGAAATCTATTAGTATACTTTTAAATAAAAATGAGAGCTTTGCTATTTTTCTTCCTTTATAATCTTTTGTAGCATAAAAATTTTCAAGCATAAGGAAAGATGGAAAGACTAGAACTATGAAATACATATCCATAAGCTGGATTTGAAGACTGTTAAAGTTTGGTCGTATTTGCTTTATTTGTTTATGTGTTTATATTCTCTCTCTCTGTTTCTCTCTTTCTCTTTCTCTCTCTCTCTCTCTCTCTCTCTCTGTCTCTCTCTGTTTCTCTCTCTTACTCTTTCTCTCTCTCTCTCTCTCTCTCTCTCTCTTTAGCTAAGCTAAATGAAAGTAGGTTGCAGACATCATGGCACTCAACTAAATACTTCATTATGCATCTCCTTAGAATAAGGATATTCTACCCAATAACAATACCATTATCGTATCTAAGAAAGTGAACAAGTTTGTAATACCTAATATCTAGCCTATATTAAAATTTCCTGTTAATGTGACCAGGCTTATTTCCTTCCTTCCTTCTGTCCATCCGTCCATCCGTCTGTCTGTCTGCCCATCCTTTCTCTCTCTTTTCTCTTTTTCTCCTCCCTTCCCCTCCCCTTCTTTTTGAGGCAGGGTTTTGCTTTGTTGCCTAGGTTGGTCTTGATCTTCTGGCTTCAGGTGATCCTCTGGCCTTAGCCTCCCAATGTTTTGAGCTTACGGATGTGAGCTACCATGCCTGGCCAGGCTAGTTTTCTTATAAAATAATTCCTCATGGTGTTTAACTTGTTTATCTTTCGTATTTCCTATAAACTGTAAGTAGGGTCCATTAGCTTGATTAGATTCATGTTAAACATTTTTGGTAAGGGTGCTTCATAGGTGAAGCTGTGTATTTGATACTGCATCACAGCAGGAGGCACATAATAGTAGGATGTCTCATGATTAGTGGTGCCAAGTTTGATTCCTTGGTAAGATGATATCCACCAGATCTAGCCATTGTAAAAGAAAGCTTTTTCCCTCCTTTGCAATTAGCAAGTAATCTGGGGGGTGGTAATATTCTAGTAACATGCATATATCCTAATATCTAATCACCTTTCATCTAACTAATGGTCTTTGCATCCATTAATGATCCTTGAGGTTTGCTTTTTGGTAACAGCAGGGTACACTTTCGTGATATGTCTAATTTAAAGCCAGAAAAATATAACTAACTAGAACTTTTTTACAAACTGTTGACAAGGAACAAACATAGAGGAATAAATAGAATTAGAGATTTTTTCACAGGAGTATGGCTACTGTGTTTTTTATTGTAGTAAACAGTAGTCATAGAATTTACCATCTTAACCGTTTTTGATGGTTCAGTAGTGTTACGTACATTCACATTGTTTTACAACCGATTTCCATAACTCTTTAGGTTTTGTGAAACTGAAACTGTACTCATTAAACAACCCCCCATTTCTCCTTCCCCTAGCCCCTGGCAACCCCCATTCTATTTTCTGGGTCTCTATGAATTTGACTAACATAGGTACCTCATGTAAGTGGAATTATATGATGTTTATCTTTTTGTGACTGGCTGAATTTACTTAACATAATGTTCTCAAGGTTTATCCATGTGGTAGCATGTGTCAGAATTTCCTTCCTTTTTAAGGCTGAATGATATTCCATTGTATGTATATACCACATTTTGTTTATCCATTCAACCATTGACATTTGAATGGCTTCTGCCTTTTGCCTATTGTGAATAACGCTAATGTATAAATGGGTGTGCAAATATCTTTTTTCGACCCTGCTTTCAATTCTTTTGGTTATATAGCCAAAGTGGAATTGCTGGATTGTATGGTCAGTCTATGTTTATTTTTTGAGAAACTGAACGTAACTGTTTTTATGATCCAGGCTACTTACATGATCTAGCACCTAACATGAAGAGGCAAAGTACGTTGTTTAATCTATTCTTCTGAGACAGACATGTTTTATTTGCATGTTTAAAATATAGGACTTATTTTTTCATTTCAGTAAGAAAATATGTTTGCATTTTGCTTCAAACATGTGCTCATCTTAGTCTGTTTTATTTTCCTGCTCTGATTGTATCATGGGTACTGAAATCATTATACTTTCTTCCTAACTTCATTGTAAGAAAAAATAGCACGAATACAATAACAAAGTATAACTGGCGCTTACCACAAAGTTGGAGAGAGAGTAGTGTGGTGGAGACTGTGGTGCTGGAGAGCACAGTCCCCGTTGAGAGAGGACAGCTACTCCTTAGCTCCAACCCATTGCTGCCATGCGTTGATGGTGAGCCCAGTGTGGTCAGATTTTCTGATCTTTCAAAAGAAGCTAGAAATCTGCATTTCTGTGTGTAATACCCTGATTTTTACACATTAACAGCCGATTTAGTCTTTTGGAAACACTGTGGGCCACTCAAAACATGTCTGTAGCCTGATTTGGGCTCCAGTTTGGGGCTTTACTGTTCACCAAATCAGTCTTCTGTGAAGGGCACCCTCTTTATGAGAAGCAGGTTGAAGAGCCAGCAAGGAAGGCACCCTTTGGCTAGCCAGCCATACATATCAGTCAAGCATCTTCGCACAGCTATGTCATTTCCACTTCATTATTTTTTTTGAGTGAAAGCGAACTTATTAAGAAAGTAAAGGAATGAAGGATGGCTACTCCATAGACAGAGCAGCCCCACTTTATAAAATGAGTTTGGGAACTTAGAGATAATTGAAAACTTTTTAATATAGTAGTTATCCCAGAAAGCGTATGTCCCCATGGTATGTTATTTTCAATTTTAAGTGACACCTAAACACAATTATAAAAGTAAAACATTCATTGTGAACACGTAAGAAGAAATAGGCATAAATATGAAAATTAACATCTCTTACCCTAATACCAGAGGAGAAAAATATTTTGATGTATTTCATTATAATACTTTCTAAGAATTCGGCATGTGTGTGTATACCTTTTCCCCTGAAGATGGAATAATACTATATATAATTTTATACCTTGCTTTATTTAACATGATAGCATAAGCATTTTCTTGTGTCATTAATATTCTTCAAAAATGTGACTTTGAATGCTCTAGCAACCCTGTGTTGTAACATGGGTTGTGACAGGAGCATCGTGCTAGTGAGTGAAACACTGGTAATGTTACCACAGCAGGACATCTAAGCGAAAGACCACTTTCCCTTGGCTTTTCCTCTTGCTTCTTCATACCTTTGCTGTCACTCTAGTGTTTGTCCTTTCTGCACATCTGAAAATTCTGTGAATTAAACTTGGAAGCTCTCTTCTCCCCACTGATTTTTACTTCATGATTTTATTTATAACAGCTTTATTGGGATAATTCACATCTTATAATGATAATTCCCAATAATTCTTTATTGGGATAATTCACATAAAATTCACTGTCTTTAAAGTACACAATTTGTTTTTAGTATATTCATAGATTTGTGCAGCCATTACCACTGTCTAAGTTTAGAACATTTCATTACCAGAAAGAAACCCTTACCCTTTACTCGTCACTTCTCATTTCCCCCAGCCCTCCTAGCTGTAAACAACTCCTACTACTCTACTTTCTATCTCTATAGATTTGCCTGTTCTAGGTATTTCATGTAAATGGAATCAGGCAATATGTAGACTTTTGTGACTGGCTTCTTCCATTTAGCATGCTGATTTTAGGGTTCATCTTTGTTGCAGCATGTATCAGTATTTTATTCTTTTTTATGGCTGAGTATTAATTCCATTATGTGGATATACCACACTGTGTTTATCCCTTCAACAATTAATGAACATTTGGGTTCTTTGTACATTTTGGCTATCATGAATAATACCACTATGAACATTTCTGTATACATTTTGGTGTGAACATATATTTTCAGTTCTCTTGGGTATATACCTAGGTGTATTATTGCTCGCTCATATGGTAATCTGTGTTTAACTTTTTGAGGAAATGCTAAATTGTTTTCCACAGTGGCTGCCCCATTTTAAATTCCCACTGACAGTGTATAAGGGTTTTAATTTCTTCACATCCTCACCAACAGTTACACTTTTACTTTTTTTTTTTTCTTTGAAGCAGGATCTTGCCATGTCATGTCACCTAAGGAGGAATGCAGTGGTGCGATCATGGCTCACTGCAGCCTCAACCTCCCAGGCTCAGATAATCCTCCCACCTCAGCATCTCAAGTAGCTGTGACTACAAGCACATGCCACCATGCCTGGCTAATTTAAAAAAAATTTTTAAGAGATAGAGTCTTACTGTGTTTCCAAGGTTTGTCTGGACCTCCTGCTTAAGTGATCCTCCTGCCTCAGCCTCCAAAAGTGCTGGGACTACAGGCATGAGCCATGGCACCTGGCCTTCTTTTACTTAAAAGAAAAATCATTATAGCCATCCTAGTAGGTATGAAGTAGTACGTTACGTCCTTATGGTTTTGATTTGCATTTCCCTAGTGAGTAATGATGTTTAGCATCTTTTCATGTGCTTATTGGCCATTTGTGTATCTTTTTTGAAGGAAATATCTTCAGGTCTTTTGGCCATTTTAAAATTGGATTGTTTGCCTTTTTTGTTGTAAGAGTTCTTTATATATTCTGGACACTAGTCCCTTATCAGATGTATGATTGGCAGATGTTTTTTTCCATTGTGTCTGTTGACTCTTTACTTTCTGGTGGTGTCTTGAGTCACAGAAGTTTTTAATTGTGATGAAGTCCAACTGTTTTTTTTTTCCTTTGTCTCTTGTGCTTTGGGTATCATATCAATTATTTTATTTTTAGCATAGCAAATGAATTAGAAATTTATAAATGTTCCATTATTAGTCATTGATTTGAAGAGTGACCTCTGTACTTCAGACTTGTATTTTTCTGTTGCTTTTCAACTCCTGACCTATTTTGTTCACTCTAAGACATCATTCCCTTTGTATTTCCTTGGTGCCTAATGTCACTTGTGTTTCATAGGGTGTGGTTCCAACTGCTCAGCGTGCTGCCATTGTTGTGGGAGTAGAGCTGCCAGTTTATGATATTACTAAGAAGCACTTAATATTGTCAGGAATGATGGGAGACACCATTTTGACTCACTTCGTGTAAGTAGGATGGGATGTGCTCATTTCATTTCCAGCATTTTGAGCACAAAACGCCTCTTTTACTGAAATCCTCAGGTGGAATTCAATAACTGGTATGTATGATCTAAATTCCCTTGTCTCTCCTATTATAAGAGCTTCAAGCTTTGTGAACACTTAATACTTCACAGAAATCCTAGGTGCTATGGGGGCTTGGGTACTTGGGAACATTGTCTAATATAGCAGCCTATCAGAGGTCTATTTGATTTATATTTAGCCATACACAGCCTCTGTATCTAATAAGCACATCTATTATTTGCTTTGGTTAATTTTGTTTGAGAAAGCAAACTTTTCTCAATGGGAATCAAAAAAAGGGGTAAAATTTTATGAGGTCTGTGAAACTTAAGCACAGTTTTTTGGCTAAAGACTGTTGATAATGTCATTTTACATTTTCTTTGTCTTGCAGCCTTTCTGATATTTTGTTACTAAAATGCATTTGGTATATGATGCTGTGGTTTGAAAAATTAATGTAACTAATTGATGGTACATGACACTTTCTACTTCGGAATCTTGTTAGCTTTAGAAGGTCTCCTTTAAAAAAGAGGCTGAGTTTCAGATTGAAAACTGAAGGGATGACCGTTAAATGATGTCTCTTTAGAAAAATGTCCTTTCTCTTTAGATTCTAGTGAAAGGCCAAGTGCCAGGTTTTATTTGATGGGTCTGAGTTATTGTACAGTTTATGTTTGGCCTAATTTCTGTTTAAGTGGGCAGGGAGTGGGAGAGGGGCAATCTGCCTTCTTAAAGTTTTCCTTTTAGTTCCAGCTTTACGTGTGGTTTGGCTGGGGCTCTGGCCTCCAACCCGGTTGATGTGGTGCGAACTCGCATGATGAACCAGAGGGCAATCGTGGGACATGTGGATCTCTATAAGGGCACCGTTGATGGTATTTTAAAGGTAAATACAGTGTGGATTTGGGTTACAATTTGGTTTTCTTTGATGTCTTAGACCTCCCTTCAGTTCTTATTATTAGTTGCTACATACCATTTGGAAGGTGAAAGAATCATATTTTTTAGTAGCTTCTCAGTCATTCCCAGGTAGAAAAGCTGTCTCCTTAGCAGTCTGCTAATTTCCAGTGATACTTAATGTAATTATTTCCATTCGAATGCTTTAGAATTCAGGATACTTTTATTAATAGTATCATGTAGAATTATTGATAGAAAAGACAGCATATCCCCAATTTGCCTACTTCATATGACACAGAGACCCTGCAATAGAAAATCCAATACTTAAGGAAAAAAAAACCTGTACTTTATTTCAGTTCAGGATGGTGCTGTTGTTCACTTTGGCTTTGAAAGTTTCTGCTGTTGTGTTTGTAGGAACTGAATAGTCTAAAAGTATTACATAATTCCTGCTGGTATTATTGCTACCGAAAACAAATTGAGGCTAAAATATGATGTTGCCATATGGTTTCTCTCCTGTTACCAGTTTTGTTTAACAACTATTGTATATCAGTCACCATTTTAGTATTTACAGAGAAATTACAGATATTACAAAAGTACTGTAGGTATATATGCAGATAATCAGTATAGCCTGATAAGTGATAAACTCTGACTTCTCAATTTGGAAGCATTGAGGTAGGCTCCCTGTAGATGGTGGCATCTTGAATAAGAATAAGTGGCATCCACTGAGTTCTTTATTGTGTGTCAGGAACTGTCCTAATGAGACTTACGTGTATTAATTCATTAAATCCTCACCATGACCCCACGGGGTACACACTGAAGCACTGAAAGATTAAGTAAGCTGCCTGAGGTTTCACAGCTACTAAATGGGAGAGCTGGAATTTAAACTCAGATCATTTGGCCTCAAACTGACATTCTTTACCTCTACACTACGGTGCTTTCCTCATATTGGTGGCCAAGGGTTAGATTAAAAAGGATACTGAATGCTATATTGAGGTGCTTGGACTTTTTTTTAAGTTGTCAGGGAGCTATTGAAAGTTTTTAATCAGGTTAGCTTTGCATTTTAAATAGATCACTTTGGCTTTGTGGAGACTGGATCTAACACAGTGGTTCCTCATCTTGGGTACGCATTGGAATCACTTGGCGGAATTTCTCAGCTCTCTCCTCTATCTTAGACCAATTAACTTAACCTGGGGAGTAAGGTCCAGGTGTCAACATTTTAAACTATATCAGGTGACTGCAATGTTCATCCAAGTTTGAAGACTACTAAGGGGATAAGCCTGGAGCAGTAGTTCTTAAAAGTTTAACATGCATCAGAATCATCTGGAGCGCTTGTTAAGCTGCAGTTCACTTGGACCCATCTCCGGATTCTGATTTAGTAAGTATGGAGTGGGGCCTGGAAATTTGCATTTTTAACAGATTCCCAGGCAATACTGATGTTGCTAGTCTGGAGACCACACTTTGAGAATCACTGACCTACAGTTAGGGAAGCTGATTAGAAGGCTCTTGTTATCTGAGAAAGACAGGGGATGAAGGCCTGAACTTGAGCAAGACATTGGAGATGTAGAAGGTGGGACAGAGTTCAGAATGAATTAGTTGATAGAGTCAACAGGATTTGGTTGACTGGATGTGGAGAGGTGTGGGAGAAAGGAGGTGTCAAAGATAATCTGGGTTTTTGGAGTTGGTGACCAGATGGTGACATTCATTGACAGAGGCATCACAAGAAGAGGAGCAGGTCTTGTGGGAGACATCAACTCAGTTTGATGTGCATGAGAAAAATCCAGTGGATACATTTGGATATTCTAGCCCTGACTCAAGAGAGTGTTCATGGATATAGATAAACACGCATGGAGTCATTACTACACAGGTGGTACATAACTGTGCCGAAAGTTGACCAAGAAGAGTAGGTAGAGGAGTTCACAACCTTTTTACCTTCCCAGCATACTGGAGTAATATAAAATTCTTTCCTGTAAATAATGACTGACTGAGGCAGCAGTTCTCAGACCCTGGAAAGTATTGTTTGGCAAAAGCCCACATCAGTATTTCTGCATTTGGCAATCACTGGTGTAGAGGGAAGAGCACTAGGGCAAGGAAAGAACACTGCAGAATACCAATTTTTAAGGTCTTGGCAGATGAGGAACCTAGGAAAGACACCAAAGGCGAGGAAACTTAGGAGAGAGTAGTGTCATGGGAGCCAAAGGAGTTAATGTGTTTATTTATTTATTGTACTTTAGGTTCTGCAGTACATGTGCAGATCATGAGGGATCGTTGCATAGGTACAAAGATGGCAATGTGGTTTGCTGCCTCCATCCCCTTCGTCACCTACATCTGGCATTTCTCCCCATGTTATCCCTCCCCGACCTCCCCACCCTCCCTATTGTCCCTCCTTTGGCCCCCTCCAACAGACCCCAGTGTATGATCCCTGTGTTCTCATTGTTCAACACCCGCCTATGAGTGAGAACATGTGGTGTTTGATTTTCTGTTCTTGTGTCAGTTTGCTAAAAATGATGGTTTCCAGATTCATCCATGTTCCTACAAAGGACACGAACTCATCATTTTTTATGGCTGCATAGTATTCCATGGTGTATATGTGCCACATTTTCCTTGTCCAGTCTATCATTGATGGGCATTTGGGTTGGTTCCAGGTCTTTGCTATTGTAAATAGTTCCACTATGAACATATGTGTTTATGTGTCTTTATAATAGAACGATTTATAATCCTTTGGGTATATACCCAGTAATGGGATTGCTGGGTCAAATGGAATTTTTATTTCTAGGTCCTTGAGGAATCACCACACTGTCTTCCACAATGGTTGAACTAGTTACATTCCCACCAACAGTGTAAAAGTGTTCCTATTTCTCCACATCCTCTCCAGCATCTGTTGTCTCCAGTTTTTTTAATGATCACCATTCTTGCTGGTGTTAGGTGATATCTCAATGTGGTTTTGATTTGCATTTCTCTAATGACAAGTGATGATGGGCATCTTTTCATATGTTTGTTGGCCTCATAAATGTCTTCTTTTGAAAAGTGTTTATATCCTTCACCCATGTTTGAATGGGTTTGTTTATTTTTTTCTTGTAATTCTGTTTTAGTTATTTGTAGATTCTGGATATCAGCCCTTTGTCAGATGGGTAGATTGCAAACATTTTTTCCACTCTGTTGGTTGCCAGTTCACGCTAATGATTCTTTTGCTGTGCAGAAGCTCTGGAGTTTAATTAGGTTCCATTTGTCTATTTTGGCTTTTGTTGCCAATGCTTTTAGTGTTTTAGTCATGAGGTTCTTGCCTATACCTATGTCCTGAATGGTTTTATCTAGGTTTTCTTCTAGAGTTTTTATGGTGTTAGGTCTTATGTTTAAATCTTCAAAACATCTGGAGTTAATTTTAGTGTAAGGTGTCAGGAAGGGGTCCAGTTTCTGCTTTCTGCACACTGCTAGCCAGTTTTCCCAACATCATTTATTAAACAGGGAATCCTTTCCCCATTGCTTGTTTTTGTCAGGTTTGTCAAAGATCAGATGGTGGCCTTGCTTTCAAGGCTTCTGTTCTTTTCCATTTGTCTGTAACTCTGTTTTGGTACAAGTACCATGCTGTTTTGATTACTGTAGCCTTGTAGTGTAGTTTGAAATCAGGTAGCATGATGCCTCCAGCTTTGTTCTTTTTGCTCAGGATTTTCTTGGCTATGCAGTCTCTCTTTTGGTTCCATATGAAATTTAAGATGGTTTTTTCCAGTTCTGTGAAGAAGGTCATTGGTAGCTTGATAGGGATAGAATTGAATCTATTAATTACTTGGGGCAGTATGGCCATTTTGATGATATTGATTCTTCCTAACCATGAACATGCAATGTTTCTCCATCTGTTTGTGTCCTCTCTTATTTCCTTGATCAGTGGTTTGTAGTTCTCCTTGAAGAGGTCCTTTACATCCTCTTTTAGTTGTATTCCTAGGAATTTTATTCACTTTGTAGCAACTGTGAATGGGAGTTGGCTCATGATTTGGCTCTCTGTTAGTCTGTTATTGGTGTATAGAAATGCTTGTGATTTCTGCACATTGATTTTGTATCCTGAGACTTTGCTGAAGTTGCTCATCTGTTTAAGGAGATTTTGGGCTGAGCTGATGACACACACACACACACACACATACACACACACACACATGTGCATGCATGTACAATTGAGACAGATATTAGAAAAATGTATCCTGAGACTTTGCTGAAGTTGCTTATCAGTTTCAGGAGATTTTGGGCTGAGACGATGGGGTCTTCTAGATATACAATCATGTCGTCTGCAAATAGAGACAATTTGACTTCCTTCTTTCCTAATTGAATACCCTTTTTTACTTGCCTAATTGCTCTGGCTAGAACTTCCAATACTTTATTGAATAGGAGTGGTGAGAGAGGGCATCCTTGTCTAGTGCCGGATTTCAAAGGGAATGCTTCCAGTTTTTGCCCATTCAGTATGATATTGGCTGTAGGTTTGTCATAAATAGCTTTTATTTTGAGATATGTTCCTTTGATACCTGGTTTATTGAGAGTTTTTAGCATAAAGGGCTGTTGAATTTTGTCGACGGCCTTCTCTGCATCTATTGAGATAATCGTGTTTTTTTGTCTTTGGTTCTGTTTATGTGGTGGATTACGTTTATAGACTTGCGTATGTTGAACCAGCCTTGTATCTCAGGATGCAACCTACTTGATCATGATGGATAAGCTTTTTGATGTGCTGTTGCAATCGGTTTGCCAGCATTTTATTGAAGATTTTTGTATCTATGTTCATCATGGATATTGGCCTGATGAAGTTTTCTTTTTTTGTTGAGTCTCTGCTGGGTTTTGGTATCAGGATGATGTTGGTCTCATAAAACGATTTGGGAAGGATTCCCTCTTTTTGTATTGTTTGGAATAGTTTCAGAAGGAATGGTACCAGCTCCTCTTTGTACGTCTGGTAGAATTCAGCTGTGAACCCGTCTGGACCTGGACTTTTTTTGGTTGGTAGGCCATTAATTGCTG